ATCCTTTTCTATCTGACCATTATTTAGTAACTTTTGAATTCATACTATTAGATTATAAGCCATTAGGCAAAACTTCCTACAGCAGATGTCTATCTGACAGTGCTGTAGCTAAATTTAAGGAGGAGATTCCTTCAGTGTTTAATTCAATGCCATGTCTGAATTTAACAGAGTCCTATAACGACTTTAGTCCCTCTGAAATTAATAATTCAATTCAATTCAATTCAATTTTATTTGTATAGCGCCAATTCATAACAGAAGTTATCTCAGGACACTTTTCAAATAGAGCAGGTCTAGACCGAACTCTTTAACATTAATTACAGAGACCCAACAGTACCACCATGAGCAAGCACTTGGCGACAAGGGCAAGGAAAAACTGCCTGTTAAAAGGCAGAAACCTAGGACAGATCCTCCGGCTCTAGGTGGGTGGTCGTCTGTCTCGACCAGTTGGGGTGAGAGAGAGAGAGAGAGAGAGAGAGAGAGAGAGCGACAGACAGACAGACAGGTGCACAGCAACAACAGTATTGGCAATGGCAGTCAAGCAGGACCATGGCAGGAGGCTCCACCAGGATCCATGAGAACCTGCGAGACGAGAAAGCACAAGAACTCCGGGGAAGAAGTGGAGTTAGTAACATGCATTAAGGGACATGAACGAGTGCAGAAAGAGAGAGGAAGAGAGTAGCTCAGTGCACCATGGGAAATCCCCGATAGTCTAGGCCTATAGCAGCATAACTAAGGGATGGTTCAGGACTCACCTGATCCAGCCCTAACTATAAGCTTTATCAAAGAGGAATGTCTTAAGCCTACTCTTGAAAGTGGTGAGGGTGTCTGCCTCCCGAACCACAACTGGAAGCTGGTTCCACAGGGAGGAGCTTGGTAACTGAAGGCTCTGGCTCCTGTTCTACTTTTAGAGACTATAGGAACCACAAGTAGCCCAGCATTCAGAGAACGTAGTGTTCTAGTGGGGTAATAGGGTACTATGAGCTCTTTAAGATATGAAGGGGCCTGACCATGAAGAGCTTTATAGGTGAGGAGGGTATTTTAAATTCAATTCTACATTTTATGGGAGCCAATGCAGGTAGCTAGTACAGGGAGATGTGATCTCTTTTTCTAGTTCCTGTCAGTACTCGTGCTGCAGCGTTCTGAATTAATTGGAGCGTTTTAATGGACTTATTGGGGCAACCAATAATAATAATCTTGTCGATAGTGCTACAGGCTCACTACGATCAACATTAGACTCTATCGCTCCTATAAAAAGGAAATTATTAAAACATAGGAGACTAGCACCTTGGTATAACCACCAAACCCGCCAGTTAAAACAAATAGCTAGAAAATCTGAAAGGAAATGGCGCTCTTCCAAATTATCAGAATATCGCTCAATTTGGCAAGATAATCTTAAAACCTATAGAAAGGCCCTCCGTAATGCCAGAGGAGCCTATTACTCAGCACTAATTGAAGAAAATAAGAACAACCCTAGGTTCCTCTTCAGCACTGTAGCCAGGCTGACAGAGAGTCACAGCTCTATCGAGCCACATATCCCCATAAACTTAAGTAGCAATGACTTCATGAGCTTCTTCTATAATAAAATTATTACTATTAGAGAAAAAATTAATCACCAACTGCCATCAACAGTTATCAGTGGCTCTCCAACTTCAGGGACTTCTGTCAATGTAAACTTAGATATATATTTAGACTGTTTTTCTGCTATCGATCTTCATCAGTTAACTTCAATCATTTCTTCATCGAAGCCATCAACCTGTCTATTAGACCCGATCCCAACTAGGCTGCTTAAAGAAGTTGTTCCCTTAATTGGCACTTCTTTACTGGATATGATTAATCTTTTTTTATTATCAGGATATGTACCACAGTCCTTTAAAGTAGCTGTAATTAAACCCCTTCTTAAAAAGTCCACTCTTGACCCAGGGGTTTTAGCCAACTATAGACCGATTTCTAACCTCCCCTTCCTCTCAAAGATTCTGGAGAAAGTAGTCGCCAAAGAGTTGTGTGACTTTCTACATAACAATAGTTTATTTGAGGATTTTCAGTCAGGATTTAGAGTTCATCATAGCACAGAGACAGCTCTGGTTAAAGTTAATAATGACCTTCTGACTGCTTCTGACAATGGACTTGTCTCTGTACTTGTATTATTAGATCTTAGTGCTGCATTTGACACCATTGACCATGATATTCTTTTACAGAGACTTGAGCATCAAATTGGCATTAAAGGAACTGCCCTAAGCTGGTTTAAGTCATATTTATCAGATCGTTCTCAGTTTGTACATGTTAACAATGAATCCTCCATAAATACTAAAGTTAGTCATGGAGTTCCACAAGGTTCTGTACTTGGACCAATACTATTTACTTTATATATGCTCCCTTTAGGCAACATTATTAGGAATCACTCCATTAACTTTCACTGTTATGCAGATGATACGCAGTTATATCTATCAATCAAACCCAATGAAATTAATCAATTATCTAAATTACAAACATGTCTTAAGGACATAAAATCCTGGATGACCTGCAATTTTCTGATGTTAAACTCAGAAAAAAACGAAATTCTTGTTCTTGGCCCCAAAAACCTTAGAGTCTCATTGTCTAAAGATATAGTCACTCTAGATGGCATTAACTTGGCCTCTAGCACCACTGTCAGGAATCTTGGAGTTATCTTTGGTCAGGATTTGTCATTTAACTCCCACATAAAGCAGACCTCTAGGACTGCCTTCTTTCATTTACGTAATATTAGAAAAATTAGACACATACTATCACAGACAGATGCAGAAAAACTAATCCATGCATTTGTTACTTCAAGGCTGGATTACTGCAACTCTTTATTATCAGGTTGCCCCAATAAGTCCATTAAAACGCTCCAATTAATTCAGAACGCTGCAGCACGAGTACTGACAGGAACTAGAAAAAGAGATCACATCTCTCCTGTACTAGCTACTCTGCATTGGCTCCCTATAAAATGTAGAATTGAATTTAAAATCCTCCTCCTCACCTATAAAGCTCTTCATGGTCAGGCCCCTTCATATCTTAAAGAGCTCATAGTACCCTATTACCCCACTAGAACACTACGTTCTCTGAATGCTGGGCTACTTGTGGTTCCTATAGTCTCTAAAAGTAGAACAGGAGCCAGAGCCTTCAGTTACCAAGCTCCTCTCCTGTGGAACCAGCTTCCAGTTGTGGTTTGGGAGGCAGACACCCTCACCACATTCAAGAGTAGGCTTAAGACATTCCTCTTTGATAAAGCTTATAGTTAGGGCTGGATCAGGTGAGTCCTGAACCATCCATTAGTTATGCTGCTATAGGCCTAGACTATCGGGGGATTTCCCATGGTTCACTCATTCATGTCCCATTAATGCATGTTACTAACTCCACTTCTTCCCCGGAGTTCTTGTGCTTTCTCGTCTCGCAGGTTCTCATGGATCCTGGTGGAGCCTCCTGCCATGGTCCTGCTTGACTGCCATTGCCAATACTGTTGTTGCTGTGCACCTGTCTGTCTGTCTGTCTCTCTCTCTCTCTCTCTCTCTCTCTCTCTCTCAACCCAACTGGTCGAGACAGACGACCACCCACCTAGAGCCGGAGGATCTGTCCTAGGTTTCTGCCTTTTAACAGGCAGTTTTTCCTTGCCCTTGTCGCCAAGTGCTTGCTCATGGTGGTACTGTTGGGTCTCTGTAATTAATGTTAAAGAGTTCGGTCTAGACCTGCTCTATTTGAAAAGTGTCCTGAGATAACTTCTGTTATGAATTGGCGCTATACAAATAAAATTGAATTGAATTGAATTGAATTGAATCATACCCACGCAATCAGTTTCGACACATCTGCAAATCCTGTCCAAACCAGAATTTCCCCAGAGCCATACTCGGGGCGTTCCCTTGCATCTGGGCCACATCCACTGCTCCCAGGCAGGGAATCCCAGATATCGGCAATAAACCCCTTGGCAGATGGTCTTCTCGAGCATATCTCACGTACATCTGTTATAACCTGAAAAACGATATCAAACACGCTTACGAATCAAGTCTTTTTGGGGGCTCTCTACAAGAGATACGAAGTTCCCTCACTCAGTGTCTCGCAACCCACTCAGTTCCCTCTTACATCGCACCGAACCCCTCCATCCATTCATCGATCCGCCAACCGACCTTCATTCCTCCTACCTTCATTCCTCTGACCTCCTCCATCCCTCATCCCTCGAACCTACCTCCATCCCTCATCCCTCGAACCTACCTCCATCCCTCAAACCTACCTTCACCCCTCATCCCTCAAACCTACCTTCACCCCTCGAACCTACCTTCACCCCTCATCCCTCAGTATACCACATTGGTTCACATTTGTTCATTATGTGCAATAAACTTTTCTTATTTCATACATTCGATGGCGTGGTCGTTGTTAGTGAAACCCCACATGATATCCTGCACTGCTGATTAACAAACTGTAGTGTCTGGAAAGTGGAACAATTTTTTTCAGTAGACTATTTAATTATATGACACCTGAAGGGCAGGCTATGCATAACACATGAAAAGGCTCTAGAGGCTTTAGAAAACCATATAAGTTATTAAGGGGCAGCTGTGGCTCAGAGGCAGCGGGTTGTTCCCTAATCGGGAGGTTGTGGGTTCGATCTCCAGCTCCTGGTGCCACATGTCAAAGCATCCTTGAGCAAGATACTGAACCCCAAATTGCTCCTGATGCCGTGCATTGGTGCTATGTGTATTAATGTTAGTTTTTTAGTCGATTGACTTTGTCATCACTGTCTGAAAGGGTGAAAGTGGCACATAGTATAAAAGCGCTTTGAGTGGTCGGAACCATTACATTTACATTTACCATGTATTCAAGTACAAGAATTCACATATTTCATAAACTACTTGTAGAATGATATCAAGACATGAATCAGGAATTTCTTGCAACATCTTAAATTTTTATTTAAGAAAAATGCATTGAACAAGAGCTAAACTTCTTTAACTTTTTAACTTATTCATTATAAAAGAAAATTAGTAGCCATTATTTTAAAAATTGTTATTCAATACAAAAGAAAATTGAGGACGATTATTTCAAAACTCCTAAAAGAAAATTGAGAGCCATTATTGTATCAATTCTTTTTTTTTTCATGAGTCTGCAGTTTCCATCCTTTTGGTCTTCTTCTACAGAGCAACTTTGGGCTTCGGTCCTTCTGTCTATGTCGCCTGCAGTTGTGTCCTCTCGTCTTTCTCCTTCGTCTGTCTCGGTTTCGGTCCTTCTGTCTATGTCGCCTGCAGTTGTGTCCTTCTCTCGTCTCTCTCCTTCGTCTGTCTCGGTTTCGGTCCTTCTGTCTATGTCGACTGCAGTTGTGTCCTTCTCTCGTCTCTCTCCTTCGTCTGTCTCGGTTTCGGTCCTTCTGTCTATGTCGCCTGCAGTTGTGTCCTTCTCTCGTCTCTCTCCTTCGTCTGTCTCAGTCCTACTGTCTATGTCGCCTGCAGTTGTGTCCTTCTCTTGTCTTTCTCCTTCGTCTGTCTCGGTTTCGGTCCTTCTGTCTATGTCGCCTGCAGTTGTGTCCTTCTCTTGTCTTTCTCCTTCGTCTCCATCTGTCAGTCTGCAAGTCATTTTGTTCTGGGGCTTGGTGTGTTTTCTCATGTCCTCTTATCGTTTGTATCGTCGGAGATTTACCCTCGGTGTGCCCCAGGATCTACACAGGTCTTCTTGAGCTTTTTTAAGAGTTTTTGAAAATTTCTTTGGTGTGGTCTGTTTTCGCTTTGAAGTCGTCGGCCCCTTTCCTTGAATGTCTGCAGTCTCCATCTGTGTAATGTTTTCATCTGTGTCTTTGTGTTCTTTTGTCAAGTCAGTCATGTTCTTGTCACTGTCTGTGTCACTTACTATCTGTGTTTTAGATTTTTGCGTTTCTGGACTCTTTTCCATCCTACTCCTCTTCTGCTGTGGGACTTCATCTTCTGAACTTGCATCTTCCAAAGTAAAGATTCTCCTTCTTTTGTGTTTCCTCTCGTTTGTATTTTATCTTCGTCCTCTGAACTTTCAGACTGTTCCTCCTCAGTCATAGATACTTCAAGATGACTGACACTCTTCAGCTTCTGTGCAAGTGCGTTTGCTGTGTCAGAACGACACTTAAAAGCTTGATCTAAGGTTAAATCCGCCTCGTAAAACTTCTCAGCTGTTGAGTCTGAATGACACATCATGCGGTGTACTTGTGTTTTTTCTTGGGTTCCCAAGGAACTGCCAATCTACATAAAGAATTATTAAATTCAGTTCAATTCAAGTCAGTTTCATTTATATATTGCCATTAACATGACTGGTCAATTGAAGAGTAATTACAACAGGCTGACATAAGGATGACAATCTCATGCACTCAATTTCATGCAAATGCAATCAGAAGAGAGAAGTACATCTTTAGGACTTTGGATGTTGAAATTGGAAGTATTAGGGACTGTAATACACTTTTTTTGACCCAGAAATATTTGTGTTGTATAGTTTAAAAACGTGAATAATTTCTGTCCGAACTTTTGTGTTCCATGAATGTCATAATAGCTACTTCACGTTTGGGGCGTCCAGTATGAAGGGTTCAGTGTGTCATTTAGGGTAAAAATATATTGTATAACACTAGTATTTTATATTAAAATACAATAACTTTGTTTTATTGACTCGTAGAGATGAAAACAACTCTCAAATGATGGAGTGAAAGATAGATTGATTTCTGCATTTCTTTCAGTGTAAGACGGAAAATAGTTGTAAAAAAACTACTACTACTATTTTCAGTTGTGCTTGTGATGCATCAAATATGTGTTATTCAAAATGAAATGTCATGTGTTTCTGTATAGCTATATTTCTACCATTCTACTGTCTTACAGTAGAATGGCATAAAACATTGTGATATTGAAAATTGGACATTAAATTATTATTGTTTTTTCACATACACTTAGTGTTATACTGAATGTCATTTTACCAGGGTACATTCATATCAATCACAATAAAAATGAATTATTAGCTTTATTCTTTAATATAACTAATATAAGGGCACAGGTGACACTCCAAAGAACATAAAAAAAGCCATTTAGAGAAATGTAATTGCTCTTTTAATTTTTTGCTACTTTGAAAACCTTATACGTCTTTGACTCAAATATTTGCTCTCAGGAGGGGCCCAGCTGCTTGTCACCAACCCTAACAGGAGGAAAATAAATGAAAATACTTGTGCATCAAATTTGAAAATGATTTACCAAAGTGCTGATGCTGCTTCTGATGAGCATGAACGTCGGCTTTCCAGGAAGGTCAAATTTCTGCCATGCTTTCTGGAAGCACACCAGCGCGTCTCGGAATGAGCCACCGTTGGTGTTGGCAAAGACCAGCTCTGTGTTTCCACATGGGTATTTCCGCCGATGGTACACAAATCGATAGAACCACATGTACTCATGGTTGTTCAGTGGAACAAGGGCATACCCAAACACCTCCTTAGTCTTGTGCTCTTTGACCTGCAAAAGAAAACCACAAATAAAATAAAATAGTTAATTCATTTAAAATTTAATTTGTCTCAAAATGCATCACAGAGCCTGAAACACAGTAGAGCAAGCATTAGTGCAAGGGAAAACTCCCCTTGCACAGAAAGAAACCTTAAGCAGAGCCAGGACTCTTAAGGGGGACCTCTCTGCTTTAGGCTGGCTGGAAGTGGTGCAGATGAATTCAAACACATATCAGGATGGGACATATTGGCATTGACAGAGTACATTCACACATTACACCATAGTTAGACGGTTATACAGTGTGCTTATAAAGTTATAGCGACAGAGGAACTGGTTTACTCATACTTGCACTGTTTGATGTCAGTAACACTTTCACTAGTAACTTTAGTGTTTTAATCGCACACCCCTAAATGGTTAAACAGTGTGCTCATAGGCTTATTATTACAGAGATGGGTAAAAGAGAATAACTAAGTCAGTATTGGCGTAAGATTATGTTGCAGGTATATAGGTTTTCACGCAGTATGCAAATGCACCATAGACTGCATTTCAGTTCTTATCAGGATATATATTAAATGGAAATTAAAAAAACTTGGAATTTACTTACTCGTATTATTCTCCTTCCATCTGATGCTGATTCAGCGGTGAGAACCTCCCTGACAGTCATATTGGTGACCACACCTCTCCTGTGTCCCGTTGTACAGATGATGTACCCAGAGAGAAGGCCGTAGAACATCTCAAGATTTTGAACTGTTGGATTTCTTTCCAATGTGACTGTAAAGTAGCATGAAAGGTTCAAGGTGAGACACTGCTCTTCTGCCACTAAAGGATTTTGGAAGAATATTTTCCTTAACACTCACCAAGTGCTGCTGGAATCTCCTCGCTGGCCTTCTTGATGAACTTGGCGATATGGGTGGCATTAACAAGCATCTCTGAAACAAAAGAGAATAGGTTCTCACTCTTTTCCTTGAGCCCCTTACACCTCATGTTCTAGTCCTTCTCAAGGTATGTGGAATTAAGGGATCTGTGATTAGATAGACCACAAGAAGGTTTTTCGAATACGCCGCACTTTCGCCGCATAAATCGCCGGTTTCTGCGCAAAATATGCAGGGCTTGCATGATTTAATAATCCATGGGAACGTTATGGAGTGACGTAATTACGCAACGTGAACATCATCGAAAAGCTGCAAACCCCGCAATGAAGCCGCAGTTTTTGCAAGTTCCCCCAATTTCATCGAATAAAATTGCATAAATATCCCGCATATTCCATCGCATTTTTTAAGAAAACGTGCCGCATAATCAAGGATTTTTGCCCGCAACAATCACAAAAAAACTCTGCGTTTTTCTGGAAGGACTGATGCTTGTATGTTGTTCATCAAATGGAATTTGCTTTGGATAAAAGCATCTGCAACATGAGTAAATGTTAAAGTCAATATTTAGCAGTTTCGATTTTGAAATTGGAATAGGGATTGTAATGTAAATTTTGGAAGGTAAAGTGATTTGGATTCTCTTTTCGAAATTCAATTACACAATCCAAATGATTAACACATTCCACATTCACATCAAAATAACAAATGCATCCAACATCCAAAGTTTTTAAATATTTAAATTGTTGAACATTTCAATACTTGACATGTGGGACTTACTGGATTTTCTAATGCGCACATCTTGCCTATGGGCAAGGAAATCCCGCCGGCTTTTTTTCATCTGGGACTGCAATCTGAATAAAGACCCCTGCAACGACTTGCGGGAGGCTTTCACTTCTGGCAATTCTGCTTCTTGGAGAAATTTTAGGAAGCACTTCACATTGCCAATCCCGATTCTTTGAGTGGTTATGGTGAGGTGCTTCAGACTGTCGGTCCATCTAAGGTGGGAATCAGATACATCGTACATTAATATTAATTAATAACTGTAATAACAACATACTAAAATAGGGATGTACAAAAAGTCACTTAATGGATAAGTCTCTCAGGGTTGTTGAGAAAGGAGAAGGTCAGCGATGGCACTTGCTTGTCGGACATGAAATATGCCCATCCTCGGACATGCTGGACTCTTTGTTTTGCATTTTCCACATCCTTTTTGGTTTGACCGGAAATGTGCTGAAACCAGGTGTGAAGAAGCTTCTCTGTGAAAGGAAGTACAGTGACAACCCAGAAAAGTCATGTCATGTATGTAATGTAAAGCCCAATTGTAGTTAAAAAAAATTTCGCAAAATAACTGGATGAGTGAGGACAGAGTGATTTTGGATTTCACAAAAATTAATGCATTATAAAACATGATAGAAAACTTTGTTCAACAACATCCATACCAAAGCGTGGGCCTGTGGCCTCATCAACTGGCCCCATCCACTCGTACTTCTTTCTAGTCTTCTCTGGTAGTACACATGCTTTTTCTTTTTCTTTTTCTTTTTCCTTGCCATGTACTTTGTCCTTTAATTTAATTTTGAGTTGCCAGATATTTTCTTTTAATCTTCGGCAATTCCTGCACTTTTGTCGGGGGACAGACTGAGAGACTGAGGTGCTTGGTCCCTCACTGTTTTCATCTGTGACAGAGCCCTCACTCTCACGTTCAGTTCCTGAGAGCTGCTGAATGTCAAGCACACTGACCATTGGTGGCTGTGGGTTGGACGTTCTAAGCTTCTTGAGGGCCTCTAGGTTTGCATGCTGTTTCGCCTTCAGCATGATTTTTTTGTGATCTGATGCCTGTAATGACAGTATTATTTAAATAAGCTTTCACAAAGACAGTAATCTGTTTCCACTGTTAAATTTAAATTAACACCATAAAAATACTAACGGTGATTTCATTGTGGACATTAATCAGGTGCTTATCCAGCCTGATTAAATTTTTAGCTTTGCAGACTGGACAATGCAGCCTGTCCCTGTAACTGAAAAAAAGAAGTCCAGTATTAACACTCAAGGAATTATTGAAATATCATATCTATCAATTTATCTTGTTTTATAATTTATTGACAGGGAAATACTTACATTCCAGAGCAATATTGGAGTAAAAAATGTAGTTCGATCTTGTTTATCACTGAATGATATTTTACCAAGTGCTGCCGAACAGAGGCATAGGTCACCTGGCATAGAGGACAATTCCCCAGTGGACGTCTCATTTTTTGTTTCCTGTGGGAGCAATTTAATGAAATTACTAAAGTATTTCAAATGTCTCAAAACACCTTACAATGAAACATTTGAGCAAGGGGCCTTTTAAAATATATGGACATGGAAGACTTGGCATTCTAATGACACTTTAACATTGCTGGTACCAGGTCAACACGACTCTACTCAATTCGCTTTTGGCCCGCCGTCCTCCGTTTTCCATTCAATTCAATTCAATTTTATTTGTATAGCGCCAATTCATAACAGAAGTTATCTCAGGACACTTTTCAAATAGAGCAGGTCTAGACCGAACTCTTTAACATTAATTACAGAGACCCAACAGTACCACCATGAGCAAGCACTTGGCGACAAGGGCAAGGAAAAACTGCCTGTTAAAAGGCAGAAACCTAGGACAGATCCTCCGGCTCTAGGTGGGTGGTCGTCTGTCTCGACCAGTTGGGGTGGAGGAGAGAGAGAGAGAGAGAGAGAGAGAGAGAGAGAGATGACAGGGCTGGTGTTAGGACTGGACCCAGGAGCAGACACCCAGACAGTATGGAAGGTTTAAAGGGGGTTTTATTCCACGCACACGGGAGGGATGAGGGGCGGCCACAGCAGGAACGGGTGGGTGAGATGGCGGAAGAGACCGGAGACACAGAGGCACAGGAGAGCGGACACAGGAAGCCAAACTGCACAAGGGACCCTGGGGCACGGGAGAGAAACGGTTAGACAAGGGGACAGGCACAGGGAAAACACAAGAGGGCTTGAAGTTGCCTAACTCAATACTGAGAGGAGCCACGAGAGTTACCACCACATAGGCTGAAACAATCTGCCGATGAATGGGAGGAAGACCGGGGTTCTTGAAGACTGAGGCATGATGAATGATTGAGAGCAGGTGAGACAGCAGGCAGCAGGTGAGGAGAATGGAGGCCGCACCCTCAGACACACAGGGAAGGGGGAGGAGCAAAGGGAGCAGGAGGGGAGCAGAGCCATGACAGTACCCCCCCCTCAACGGACGCCTCCTGGCGGCCTACCGGGCTTGTCAGGATGGGATCGGTAGAAGTCCGAAAGAAGGGAGGAATCCAGGATGAAGTGCCGGGGAACCCAAGAACGCTCCTCCGGCCCGTACCCTTCCCAGTCCACCAGGTACTGGAAACCCCGGCCCCGCCGTCGGACGTCCAGGATCTGCCAAACTGTGTAGGCTGGGTGGTCGTCAATGAGCCGGGGGGGCGGAGGGGGGTCGGCCGGAGGGCACAGAGGGCTGGAGGAGACAGGCTTCAGGAGAGATACGTGAAACACAGGATGCACATGTAGTGACGGAGGGAGTTTTAACCTCACCGCCACAGGATTGATGATTTTGTCCACTTCAAAAGGTCCAATAAATCGTGGAGCCAGCTTTCGAGACTCTACCTGCAATGGCAGGTCTCGAGAAGACAGCCATACCTTCTGACCAGGTGTGTAATCGGGGGCAGGGAGTCGGTGGCGGTCCGCCAGGCGTTGGTTTCTAGCCGCTGTCTGTAGCAGGGCTGCACGAGCCTCAGTCCAAATCCGGCGACAGCGGCGCAGGTGGTCCTGTACTGACGGGACCGCCACCTCCCCTTCCTGAGATGGGAACAATGGAGGTTGAAAACCATAAGCTGCCATGAACGGGGACATACCTGTGGCAGCGCAGGTGAGGGAGTTGTGAGCATATTCGATCCACGGAAGAAATGTGCACCAGGAGACCGGATGTCGGGCGGCGACGCAGCGCAAGGCAGCCTCCAATTGCTGGTTAGCCCGTTCTGTCTGGCCGTTGGATTGTGGAGTTTTAGCCAGGGGTAGCCTAATACAACAGGAGTGTTGGGTGATGAAATAACCAGTAAGCTAATCTCCTCACGGTGATTACCAGAAAGGATAAGTGTGAGGGGAACGGTTTGCCGAGTAATGTTGGCTAAATGTTTTCCGTCTAAGGCATTAACGGGTTGGTTGTCAGGGAGTTTGATGGTGGGAATGTTTGCCTGAAGCACGAATGCCGAGTCAATGAAACTCTCCTCGGCACCTGAGTCGACTAGTGCTGTGAGGGGAAGGGAATTCAACTGCCAGCGAAGGGACGCTTTTAATTGCAAGCGACTAAGGGGGCAGAGGAGGAAGTGGGGACTTGGCTCACAGGAGTAACACCATTCTCCGTTTCTTTCTTTGGCAGCTGGGGGCAGGCAGCCAAGAAGTGACCGTGCTGGCCACAATAAATGCATAACCCGGACCTCATCCGGCGTTGGCGTTCTGCCTGAGTGAGGCGGGTGCGACCCAATTGCATCGGCTCTTCTACGGGCTCGGGGGGTACCTGGCTCGAGGGGCGTTTGCATGGGGCTGCTAACTGGGGATCTACTGAGATGGTGGCTCTGGGTAAGGCATGGAAAGAAGAGGCTTGTGAGCGCCCCCACTTCTCACGCCGTCTCTCATGAAGACGATTGTCAAGCCTAATCGCTAGTGAGATTAGCTCGTCAAGGCTAGCAGCGCTATCCCTAGCCGCTAACTCGTCCTTCATAACCTCAGACAGCCCATGCACGAAAACAGCCTGCAACGCCTCTTCATCCCAACCACTCTCTGCCGCTAAAACTCTAAACACGACTGAGAACTCAGCTACTGAACCAGAACCCTGACGAAGATTCAGTAAGCGTTTAGCTGCCTCTTTGCCTTGCACTGGATGATCAAAAACTCTTCTTAATTCGTCAGAAAATCGCTGGAAGGTATCACAAATAGGGGAGTGCTTCTCCCACAGGGCGGTTGCCCACTGAGCTGCTTTCCCTGACAATAAGCTAATCACAAATGCCACTCGGGCCCTATCAGAACTGTAGGTCAACGGCTGTTGTTGGAAAACTAGCGAGCACTGAAGCAGAAACCGCCCACAAGCCCCCAAATCCCCAGCATACCGTTCAGGTGTAGGAACGTACGGTTCCTGGGGCGGGGGAGGAGGAGGAGCTGCATGCTGCATGGCTGGAGAGGCAGAGGGAGTAGCTGCTTCAGTGGCGGTGGTAGGAGCTGTGGGAGGGGTGGAGACCTGATCGAGCTTGGATCCAAGGGCGGCCACACTACAGCGAAGGTCTTGGATGGCTGCCACGATCTCGTCGAGGACCTTCTCGTGGTGGCCCACTCGTTGTCCCTGGTAGGCCAGTGCGCTTAGGACGGAGTCTGGGTCCGCTGGGTCCATGCTGGCCAGATTGTTCTGACAGGGCTGGTGTTAGGACTGGACCCAAGAGCAGACACCCAGACAGTATGGAAGGTTTAAAGGGGGTTTTATTCCACGCACACACACACACACACACACGGGGGGGGATGAGGGGCGGCCACAGCAGGAACGGGTGGGTGAGATGGCGGAAGAGACCGGAGACACAGAGGCACAGGAAAGCGGACACAGGAAGCCAAACTGCACAAGGGACCCTGGGGCACGGGAGAGAAACGGTTAGACAAGGGGACAGGCACAGGGAAAACACAAGAGGGCTTGAAGTTGCCTAACTCAATACTGAGAGGAGCCACGAGAGTTACCACCACATAGGCTGAAACAATCTGGCGATGAATGGGAGGAAGACCGGGGTTCTTGAAGACTGAGGCATGATGAATGATTGAGAGCAGGTGAGACAGCAGGCAGCAGGTGAGGAGAATGGAGGCCGCACCCTCAGACACACAGGGAAGGGGGAGGAGCAAAGGGAGCAGGAGGGGAGCAGAGCCATGACAAGAGAGAGAGAGAGAGGCAGAGAGAGAGAGAGAGCGAG